CGGGGGCCGCGAGCTGAACTGCGAGGAGATCCAGCTGAGCCGCGAGAGGCGCCAGGGAAGGTGCCAGGGCGTCAGGCTGAGCTAAAGGGGCAAAGGGCTGAACTGTCAGGGCCGCCAGCAGGGCTGCGAGGGCCACGCCGCCACCTGATCTACCAGGGCCACTGGCGGAACTCCTTGGGCCACCTGCTGAGCCGTCGCAGCATCCGACGGTTCTACGAGGGCCACCAGCTCACCTGCGAGGGCCTGCAGCTGAGCTGCGAGAGACGCCTGGAAGGGGGCACTGGGGAGCAACGCGAGCAACTGGCCCAGCTGCGAGTGCCAAAGGCTGAACTACGAGGACCGCAAGACGGGCCACGAGGACCGCGTCCTGCGCTGCGGGAGCCATTGGCAGAGCTTCTTGTGCCACCTGCAGACCTACCGGGGCTTTCAAGAGACCCGCGAGGGCCACTGGCTGGGCTGCGAGGACCGGGGGCGCAGCTGCAAGGGCCACAGTCGCGACTGCGAGGGCCTCCAGCTGAGCCGCGAAAGGCGCTGGGAGAGGTGCTGGGGCCACCTGCATAGCTACATGTGCGACCAGCAGAGCTACAAGGGCAGCTCGCTCAATTGCGAGGGCCACGGCCTGAACTGCGAAGGCCGCGGCCCGGGCTGCGAGGGCCGCGACTGAGCTGCGGGGGCTACTTGCGCAGCTGCCTAGGCCGCCTGTAGAGCTACTGGAGATTCCAACGTGCCTGCAAGGGCTGCCGGCTGAACTATGAGGGCCTCCAGCTGGGCCAGCAGAGGTGCAGGGGTCGCCAGCTGAGCTACTCAAACTACCGACAAAGCCAAGAGGGCCGCCCGCTGAACGACGAGGACCGCAGGCTGAACTACGATAGGAACAAGGGCCGCCTGCTGAGCTACAGGAGCCACCGGCAGAGCTACAAGGGCGACCGGCCGAGTGGCGACGACCGCGGGCTGCGTTGCGAGGACAGCGCGCAGGGCTGCGAGGGCCACGACATGCCGTCTGGGGGCCGCTAGCAGAGCTACCTGGGCCACATGCTGAGCTACCAGAGCTTCCAACAGACCAGCGAGGGCCACCGGCTCAACCTCGGGGGCCGCGAAAGCACAGCTTCGAGGGCTTCGACGACCCCCGGGGCAGTTGCCGGTGCAACCAGCTGAGCTACGTGGGCAACTAGCTGGGCCACCTGTGCTGCGAGGGACACGGGCTGAGCCACGAAGACCACGAGAATCCCCCAGAAGAGCTACCAGAGCGACAGGCTTAACTAACATGGCCTGGGGCAGAATGTCGTCAACCACCTGCTTAGGTTCGAGGGCCGCCCGCGCAGCTAAGAGGGCCGCGGCCTGAACCGCGCGGTCCACAAGCTAAACTACGAAAGGTTCCTGCTGACTTTCTTGGGCAGCGAGCTGGACTGAATTGCCGACCAGCTGAGCTACAGGCAGCGCTGCGAGGGCCGCGAGCACAGCCACGAGACTTACTAGAAGTCCTAACAGGGCGGCCTGCTGTTCCACAAGACCCAGCAGGAGAGCTACCAGGGCCACCAGCAGAGCTACCAGGGCCAGACCCTGTACTACGTGGTCCACGCGGCGAACGTCACTGCCTACGGAAGACGTGAACAACCGCAAAGCCGATCGCCATCGGCGACTCAGCGCAGGGCAGGCTCGGCAAGAGGCATCACGATTCCGTCGTGGAGTTGCTGGACGAGGCGCCCGCTACGGTCCGCTGTCTGGATGGCAATGCGTGCCCGCTCCAGCGAGCGGCAATCCGCATACCGAAATAGTTGCGGCCAGACCGGCCTGCCTGAAGCCAGAGAAAATACGATCCGCAGCGCTACAGCAAGGAAGGGTGCACACGTACATCGTTACGCACAATATAACTATTTCATCTGCCTCAATTAAGCGATGAACTTCTGCATCATTTGAGCGACCTGGCCGGTCCCTCCACAACCTCTTCCTCTTAGAGCCTCAGGATTATTGAATGGTACGATGGCCTCCGCCTTCACCCCGGTGTGGATAAGGTCGCCTGGTGGCGTCCAGGGGGCCTTACTCCCTCGTTGGCCGCCCCCCGCACGCTGGGGCCAGCGTGCGCGTGGGTGGATCGGGAACGTCGGGGGAGACAAAGCGAAGGAGAGAAAAAGAGAGAGAGAGAGAGAGAGAGAGAGAGAGAAAGAGAGACAGAGAGAGAGAAAGTAAAAGAGAGAAAGAGAGAGAAAGAGAGAGAGAGAGAGAGAGAGAGAGAGAAAGGAGGAGGAAAAAGAAAGAGGCAAAGGAAACTGGAAAAGGAGGATAAGGAAGAGGAGGAGGAGGAAGAAAAGGAGGACGAGGAGAGAGGAAAAGGGAATAAAGGAACAGGAGAGCAAGAACAGGAGGAGAGGAGGAGGAGGAGGAGGAGGAGGAGGAGGAGGAGGAGGAGGAGGAGGAGGAAGGAGGAGAGGAGGAGGAGGATGAGGAGGAGGAGGAGGAGGAGGAAAAACAGGAGGATGAGGAGGAGGAGGAGGAGGAGGAG